CTCTGGGAAGTAGAGCAAGGGTGATCTGCCAGGAGTGAGGAGGGGAGAGGTAGAGGGGGCAGTTGAAAGAAAAGTTTTTGAGAAGCAGATTGTGGCTGATGCCATGGGGCTTTCCAGAAGGCATTTCTGCTGCTCTTTGCTGAAATGTCACCTTAGAGAGGCCTTCCTAGCCCACTCCCATCCATAGTGGCAGCCCTGCCCCTTACTCTGCTTTTTTTCTTTCGGGAGTTGTCACTACCTGAAATCGTACTCTTGGCGTATTTGATTCTTGTTTATTTTCTTTCTCCCCGCTTGGAATGTATGCTGGTGGGGCAGGGCTTTGTCTTGCTCACCGCTGTAACCCCAGAAACTAGCACTGTCTCTGGCTCAATGCCCATGTGTTGGAAGAGTGGATGAATCTCTCGGGGGGACCCAACTCTGGGCAGCAAAGCTGCCCATGCAGACTGACAACAGATGACTGCATCCTCTTGGACTCTTGGGCATTTCTTGGGTCCCTGCCCTCCTGCCTTTTTAATTGTTTGGATGCTTTCCTGCATTCCTCCTCTCACCTGATTGGGTGCTCCTGAGTCTGGAGTTCATCTTTGGATGCTGAAGACAGGGAGGGTGTTGGGGGCAGAGCACAGGCTTTGGAATCTAAAGACTGGGGCATGATGCTAGTTGTGTGACTTTGGACAAAGTCCATCATCACTTCCTAGCCAAGGCATGGTGGCTAGAGAGTCCTGGTGACCACACTGATCTCACCCAAAGTCCTTTGCTCCTTCTATTGAGCTAGGGGTTCTTTCTGTATGTTATCTGTTCACATGTACATGTGTAATCGTTCATTTGTCTTTGAAAGGGAGGATGGAGGATGAAGTCATGTTTGTCACCAGCATGGGAGGAATGTTCCCTGCTCCCTGGGGCATTTTGCATTTGATCCCCTCTTTTCAGGCTCTCCATGGCTCTGTTCAACCTCATGGCTGAATCCCCAGTGAGTTTGTGTACATTGAGTCTGCTTTTCCCACTGATTTTTATAGTTATTTCAGAGATGCTACTTCTACTCCCTTTTGGTTGGTTTTTCTTGGCTTCTAGCTCTTTAGCTTTATTTAAAAACTTGGCAGTGGCTTGGACTCATGCACACATGGAGCCCTGGTAATCTTGGGTGTGGGGAGAGGGACCATAGTAGGGAGACAGCCGAGACCAGGGCACCAAAGGGCACCTAAGGGTGTCCATCCTGGAGGAGAGCAGAACTAGGGGGTTCTAGCTCCCCACTCCCAATCCCTGCGGGACTTCCCTGGGCAGTGGGAGCCTGTGTGGTCCCAGAGGGAGACCCATGGGGAAGGCTATGGGCAGGTGGCTTTCTCTTTAGCGACTAAGATGCCTTTTGAAGAATTAAGACTGTCCAAAGATGGTTGGGGTGTTTTGAAAAGAAGTTGCCTGTCACTAGAGATGTTTGAGCACTTGGGCAGGGATTCTTACCAGGTGTAGGTGCTGGGCAGGCACCCTGTGTGCTGGGAATCCGAGACTGACATGACCTGCCTTGAGGGAACAATGACATGCTGCCGAAAAGGAAACCTCTTCATCTTTCGCCTCCGTCATCTTTGGTTTTTCGAAACTCTCATCCCCATTTTGTGAGCCAACTTATTTTTGTTCTGAAGCAGCCCCCTGGGGCACTGCAGCTGCAACACACTGGTCAAGGGTAGCTTGTTTCTTGGACACTGGCCCACTGAGCTTCAGGTCAACTGGCTGATGGCTTGAGCAGGCTTGCTAACAAGGGCTGCAGAAAGAGCCTAAGCCAGGATCCCTGGTCTCCCTTAACTCACACTGGATGAGTAATCCAGTTGTGTAATCCTGAGCTGGGACACTTACAGGGCTGGGAGGTCTGGGACAGGAAGAGAACAGAGCATGAAGATAATTCCCTTTGGTCTTTGTACTGCACATTTCCACCTATAAAAAGAGGTCAGGGTTCCACTAGGCAATGTTGAAATCCCTTTCCCATCTGATTCTTGGAGCAAAGCTTACTTTAGACTCTTGGGAAGCAGAGAGGAGAGTGGTGACATATGCTTGCTCTACCCAATCCTTCCTGTGATTTATTTCTGGTGAGGTCAACAAGGAGTGCCAATGTGAGGGTGGGAGGTGAGGCTGGGAAGCTGGGATCAGTGAATTATCTTCATGCCCTGTTCTCTTCCTGTTCGCATCCAGTTGTGTAATCCAGAGGAACTGTCCAGGCAGCCACGTGTACCCCACAGGGAAGACGCCTCAGCCCTCTTGAGGGGCCGCAGCTGCAATAGTGGGACCAGGTGCTGGGAGCTGTCCTCCCTCTTACCAGGCTCCTGGGGTAATCAAGGCAGGCGCCTGGCAGGTGCTTCTAGTTCTCTAGCTTTATTTAAAAGTTTGGCCATGGCTTGGGCTCATGCACACGTTTTTTATTTATTTTAGATTTATTTATTTCTTAAATAAATCTAAAGAGCTAGGAGAAAGTCGGGCACAAGGAGGCAGTGACAAGCTGGCTGCGACCTTGATCAGGGCACAGGCTGTGAATGTGGTCAGTATGAGACCAGGGTCTTGTGCAGAGGTGCACAAGCATAACTGATAAGGAGGGGAGTGAGGCTCGGATGAACCAGATCAGCCAAAGGCTCCTTCCGACCCTGAGATCCTATGAGTCTGGCTTTTTTGTGATGTAAGCCTTTCTTTGACCCATCCAATTGGGCTTTCTGGACCTGGTAGGGATGGAGAGAAGGGGAATGGTCAGATGACCAGGAAGTTGGCGAGGAAAACCCAGCAGGGCAGATGGAAAAATAAGAGAGACACTGGGGAAAGGAGCACTTCCAGGGGTACCAGCCAGGAAGGAGGCAGGGATACCAGGTTTCCTCTTACCTGTGTGTGGAGATGATTTTTATCACTTTGTGTTCTTTTTGACATTGTGTACTCAAGGGCAGTGAAAACTCTTACAGTCCTGTTGGGTTGAACTCAGGATTCCAAGTTCAGAGGCAGTGAGGGAAGAGATCTATGGGATGATTACACACGACTCCACAGAGGGCCTAGGAGGGGAAGAGCCCTAGAGAAGGCACAGACGGGTGGCTGGAGGCCAAAATAGGCCCAATCCCATGAGCCCTTGGAGATAGTGGCTTGGGCCAGAAAGGATCCCTCGGGGCTACATTATCAGATGCCTGTGTCCTTCTTTAAGAATATTCCCTGGAAGATACAACATGGATGTCTTAGTCCTTTGTGTTGCTATAAATGAATACCTGAGACTGGGTAAAAGGTTTATTTGGCTCACAGTTCCACAGGCTGTACAGGAGGCATGGTCAGTGTCTGCTTCTGGTGAGGGCTTTAGGAAACTGCTATTCATGAGAAGGAGCAGGCATCACATGACAAGAGAGGAGGAAAGGAGAGAGAGAGAGAGAGAGAGAGAGGTGCCAGACTCTTTGTAACAAACAGTTATCATGGGAGCCAAGAGAACTCACTCAATCCTGCCAGAATGGCCCCAGAGCCATTCGTGAGGGATCCACCCCTATGATGCAAACATCTCCCACGAGGCCCCACCTCCAACATTGGAGATCACATTTCAAGATGAGATTAGGAGGGGGAAAATGTCCAAATTATTAAGGTTTGGATATTTTTCCCTTCCTAATTTGTGTGGATACCATAAACGAGTAGGTGGCAATTGTGAGAGAGAATTTTAGAGAGAAAAAGCAGGCCTAGCACAGGCTCAGGCCTCAACAGGAATTTTATGGGATTGTAACCTAACATCTCTATTCCTCAGGCTCACTCCTCTTCCCTAAAATGGGACCACTTAGAATTGTGAGGATTCAATCAGGTCAAAATGTAAGTAGCTTAAACAAGGTCTGGCACGCAACAAGTGCTTAATAAAGATTAGTCTTACTATGCCTCCTTACAAACTCCAGAGCTTGGACCTTTCCTAAGGCCCCTGGGCAGACCACTAGGAGTGTTAAGTGTATCTTTGAAAGACTCCCACTAAATGAGGAAAAATAGTTAAATACATTACATCCCTATAGTGAAATACTACACGACTGTTAAAAATATTAATGACAGTTAAGTGCACTAGCCTGGAAAGAAGGACAAGATATGCTTAATGAAAAAAGGCTGGTTTTGCAAAAATATTTATTATATAACTTTGTTTACTTAAAACACCTCTGGGTGAGTATATGTGGCTATAAAACCTCCAAAGGACATGTACCAACCTCTGGATGACCCATTCAAGCTCATCCAAGGTGACTGTCCCACCATGGGACACCTTCTGGAAGACACCGTGGTCTTTCCCACTCCAGCACTTTTGTGCTTGCTGTTTTCTCACCCAGAATGCTTTTCCTTTATGCTTCACACAGCCAGAGCCTCACCATCCTTCAAGTTTCACCTTAAATGTTGTCTCCAACAAGAAGCCTTCCAAGATCACCCTATCGAAGCAGGCCCTCCCTGTTAGTGTCTCTCATAGCACTGTTTTTATTCTCAGCAATCACTATTCTCTGTGATTATTTTACTTAATTGTCTACTTGTCTATTATCTGTCTTCTCCATAGAATGAAAGGGCAGAACTTGTCTGTCTCATTCCTCTGAGACGTTGAGAACAGAGACCTGTACATGTAGGCCCTCAATAAAAATGTGTTGAAAGATGCGGCAGGGGTGGAATTGAGGCTATTTCTCTATTGCACAATGAAAAATATTACCTTTATAATGAAAGAGCTTTAATGTGGAGAAGAAAGCACTTTCTGGCTGCAGTGCAGTGGAGAGTTGGTGGCAGGTGCCAAGTGGAAGCAGGTTGGCTAGTTTGGGGATGTTGAGCTAACCCCGGTGTGAGAAGAAGGTGACTTGGACTTAGAGCAGTGGTTGTAGGGCTGGAGAGGGCACTAGGCCTAGGAATGTTTAGGGGAAGGGAGTGCAGGAGAGGTAAGGAAGCAACCAGGGCCTGCCTGAGCAGCCTTCTCCCCTGCCCTCCCAGGAACTTGGGGTCTGGCTAGAGACAATGTGTTCCTGAGTAACCTTGACCTTCTGTCATCATTTCAGATCCAGCAGACGGGGAGCCTGGACAAAGTGGTGTCCTGGGCCCACCAGTTCCCATATGCCCACCCACTCTGGTTCGGACAGTTCATTGGCTTCCTGAACATCTATGAGCCCGACTATGCCAAAGCTGTGTACAGCCGTGGGGGTGAGGAGAGAGGATGGGACTCTCAGGAGAGTGTGGGGCTTCCTGAGAACAAAGGGCTCAGGGCACCATGTGAGGAGGAGGCCTGGGCCTGTGTACTAAGTCTGGGCGGCTGAGGTGCCCACCCTACTCATAAACAAGCCTTCTCTAGGAACCCCGGGTCCCTGCTTGACCTGATTGTCTCCTCCTGCAGACCCTAAGGCCCCTGATGTGTATGACTTCTTCCTCCAGTGGATTGGTGAGTGAGCACCTGCCTTCCCTGCCATGCCCACCTCAGACCCATGGTGACTAGGATCCTGCCCTGTCCTGCTCAATTGGTTATCCCAGATGGCCTAGTTCCCGGGTACCCATCCTAAGCTCAGCTCTCAGTGAGGAGACAGGGGAGGAGCAGGAGAACCCCCAGCTGTGGAGCCAAGGCATCTTCTCTGGCAGGGTCTGCCTTCTGTAGACAGGGCAAAGGTCCTGGAGAATGTGTAAGTGTGAAGAACAGTTTCCTGAAGGAGGTGGCACTAGAGTTGATCCAAAAGGAGATTTAAATAGGTGGTGCTGGCCAGGGCAAGGGTCTGAGGAAATGGTGTGGTGGTAGGACCACGGCTGGTCACCAGAGGCTGTGAGGCTGTCGGGGTGGCTGCAAGGTAGAGCCCAGCTGGGAGATGAGGCTGGGCAGGGAGGACAGGTCAGCCTTGACTGCCAGGATGAGGAGGTGATTTGATGTCGAGAGTAGGTGGGAGTCATTGAGTATTTTATTTTATTTTATTTTATTTTATTTTATTTTATTTTACTTTTTTCTTTTCAGAGGTAGTCAAGTTAAACCCACTGAGTGTTCTTTAGCCACCATATGCTTCTCCAAAGCTCCTCTTTTACTCATGATCCTATGGGGTCTTCAGTGTTTTCCTGGGAGCTGAGAAAGGGCAGGGCCAAGAGGGAGAACACATTCCCAATCCTATTTACTCACCGAGTACCACTGGGAAGTCTTTTTGCTTCTAACACTCTTCAGTTATCAATGGGAGGATAAAATTAGAAGGCAGACAGAAAAGGATCAGGAAAATGAAGAGGTGGTTTTGGAGGCAGGAATGCATTTCCATTGCTGGGTGTGTTGGGGTGGGGTAGGAAGGCTCCCACCTGAGGCCATGAAGCACGAACACAGTGGGCCATTCCCCAAGTCCTGAAGCTGTGGCGAGTCTCAGCAGCTGACAGTCAAGGCTCAGCAGGCTCCCCCCGCTTGACCGTCCCCAGGGGGATGTATGTCCTTTGTCTCATATCTGGCAATGTCATCTGACACAAGTTCCTGGACCCAGGATTTTTGGGTGCAGCTGAGAGGCAGAAGCTGAGTCATCCTGTCCTAAGGAAGGAGCTCACTCAGCCAAGAACTGCTGCCACCTGTGTCCTGAGGCCCTGGTAGCCTAGGGTGAGAGCGTGGAGGGCAATACTGGGTCACTTAGTGGCCCATCCTTGGAGGGTTCCAGGCTCAGGGATGGAGTTGGGTAGGATGTGCTTAGCCCCAGGCTGCCCCGGGTGGGGCGGTATCTCCTGGACTGACCAGCCCTCTCCCTCCTATCTCTTCCCCAGGGAGAGGCCTGCTAGTTCTTGAGGGGCCCAAGTGGTTCCAGCACCGCAAGCTGCTCACACCTGGCTTTCATTATGATGTGCTGAAGCCCTATGTGGCTCTGTTCGCTGAGTCCACACGTGTCATGCTGGTGAGCTCCCTGTGCCAGAGTAGTGGAGGCTGTTGGCTGCTGGGCTAGCCCCTCTCCACCCTGATTTTGTCCTGGGGAGAGCAGGTGGTGCTCTGCGGTGAGGAGAATAGCTGAGCCCCAAGACCTGTTCTGCCTGCAACAGCAGTGCCAAATCCCTGCATTGCTGACATGTGCCACATGCTGCCACTGAGTAGGTGCTGAATCTCTGAGTGTCCTGGCAGCCCGGTCCTGGTCTCCATCAGGAGACCCAGCCCTCTTTCCTCCCAGGCCAAAGGGTCTCTGTGAGAACTTACTAAGACTCCTGGCATAGCAGGTTTGAGGACTGCCTTTATTTGAGAGTACAGGGAAAGGCTTTCACACCTAAAAAGTGTCTCCTCACGTTCTGTCTACCACAACTGCCCAAAATTCTGTCAATACAACTCATCACTAAGAGGGATGTCAGAGGTCAGGCTCAGAGTCTCAGGGCTGGATAATCCCCAGGTTATCTAGGCTAGTCTTTCCCCTTATAGGAAACTCCTCTCCAGGATTACTTACACACACACTGTGCTGGGGAGCTCACCACCTCTCAGCCGTCCTACTCCCTTATAAGCTACCCTGACTGGGAGAAAACATCTGTGTGCGGTGCAAGATCTGCCTCCTGGTCCTGCCCTCTGAGCCTGTAGCCCAGAGGCTGCCAAATTGCTACCTACCCTACCCTGATATTCCAGCAGGGTGGAGGGCAGGACAGGGACTGGGAGTGGGTGAAGGGGGCTTGGTGGTGGAGGATAGGCTATGAGTCCTGGAGTGAAGCTTGTGGCATCCAGTCCAATTGACCCCCACATTGCCTCCTATCCCTGGACTCCAGGACAAGTGGGAAGAGAAGGCTATTTTGTGTGCTAACTTCTTCTGAAGGTAGAACCTGATTACCCTTCTGGGTTCCTGGATAGAGCAGGGAGAGCTGGGGGAGAAAGAGGTGGAAATGTAGGGGTGAACAGAGTTGGGACAGCTAGGAGAGCCAGTCCCTTGCTACTTGCCTTTGGATGGCAATACTCAGCTTCCAGATGCCATATCTCTCCTGCTGGTGAAGGAGAAAAGACTTCCCCAAACTTCATCACTTAAAAACTTTCCATTGTTTTCCCCTGTTTCTTGGCCCAAGACTGAACTCCTGAACACTTCAGGATTGACCTTGACCTCTCTTTGCAGCGTGAGCTCTAGGAGTCTCTCAGAAGCTCCTCCAACCTTGCTCGCTGTCTGCTCCCCTCAGGCCTTTGCTTGTGGTCAGACACCCTGCCTTTCTCTCTGGGCTCCTGAGCAGCCTCCAGCAGGGGCTAGGCACACAGCAGGGGTACAGAAAATGCTGAGCCGGTGGGGGAACTTTAGATCCACTTGAGGGGGACTGACCTTTAACTCCAGGGTCTGGAGTATGAAGCTTCATTACCATTTCTGTTTGTCATATGTGAGAATTCCCCTGCACAGGGTATCCAGGCACATGCCAGGTGCTATCAGGGCTGCAGAATGGAAGAGAAAGAGAAGCCAAGTTGCTGCCCGTGGGGTTTTCTGAGAGACAAATTCACATAACCAAACAGCGAGAGAAAATTACAGGATCGCGTGGTGTGAAGGCTGAGCGCAGAGGGAAGGAGTGAGGCTTGAATTGACTTTCTAAGGAGGGTTAAAATTCAGGCAAAGAGAGAGAGCTAGGCATTGTAGACTGGGTAACAATGTGAACACAACCCGAGGCAGGGATTAGAATATTTATTTTATTTTCACGTGATTCCATCTAGAGCTTGAAGCAACTTAGAGGACATTTATTCAATAAAATAATAAAATGCAAATGAAAAATAAGAGCCAGTGTGGAGTTTGGGAACTCTGTAATAAAATATTGCCCAGTAGTTATAGTTGAATGTCATATCTGGGCCTGAGCTTCCTGGTGGCCAAAGGGAAAAGGCACACACACACACACACACACACACACACACACACACACACACACACACTCACCTCATTAAACAATGCATGAACTTTGGTTGATTCATTCAACCAATGTGTATCAGCCCCGGTTTCTTTCATTCTGCTCAGTAGGGGAAACCAAGTTGGAACCTAAAGAACTATCCTTTGTAGGCATCTATGGGGGTCCTGAGAGTTGCAGAGGTGACCTTGTCTTTGATGGCTGTGTGCACATTCATCTCTAGGGTCCTGTACCTTCTTCTCCTACCAGTGAAGATGAGAAAGGGATGCAGAAAAATGGAACAAGATCCCTTAGATCTGAGTGTCCACACCATGTCAGGCCTGGCCCGGGCACTTGGAACCCTGTGGCCCTGACTCTTGAGTGTGTGGTGGTGGTGAGGGAAAACTGGGGCTGGAGTCTGCTTTCTTCCCAAATCCTGTTGCTGCCCATTCCCAGAATGTTCTGGTTGTGTTGCTGGCAGGGATGATCTGGGCAAAATGACTTATCTGACCATGTGCATCAAGGAGAGCTTCCGCCTCTACCCACCTGTGCCCCAGGTGTACCGCCAGCTCAGCAAGCCTGTCACCTTTGTGGATGGCCGGTCTCTACCTGCAGGTGGGATGGGTGGATTTAGGGGTGGAAATGGAGTCCTCTGCATGCTCCTCTGGCACCCTCTGTGCCTTTAGTCAAATATTTGCACTTTTGGGGAAGAGCTCAGGCTTTGCGTTCAGAGAGCCCTGGGTCTCAATCCCAGTCCCACAACATATTGATCAATTCTTCTACCTCTGAGCCTCCATTTCCACTTCTGTAAAATGGGGGATGAGAAGAGTATCTATGTTTCAAGGCTGCTGTCAGGATTAAAGAGACAATGTCCACCAAGGCTGCCATGTACCACCATGCAGATCATGCCCTGAAGATAACTAGAGAGCATCACTCACATAGACTATGATGCTGTGCAGTGTACAACCTGCACAACTGTATGTGGTAGCTTCATAAAGAGTGTTAAGCCTGTACCTGGTTCCTAGTAAGCACCTGGTGAATGATAGCTGTTACTGTTGGCAGTGTAATATTATGAATAATAATTTCCCAAGAGTCAGTCAGCTGAAAAGGTTTAATAGTTCCTTCCTGTTCTACCTCATGATGGAGGGGTTCATTCTCCCTTTATTCATTTCACAAATGTCTGTCAGGTGCTGCACCCAGTGCTGGGGTTACAGGAACTGGGCATGATAATCATCAAAGTACTGTGATGAGTCGGGTGTGGTCATGAACTCTCTGTCACTGGCAGTGGTCAGCAGGGGCTGGCACCCCAGGGGGCACTAGGGGAACTCTGACCTTATGTGGAGGTAGGCCTGGCTTCCTAGGACTATCTGGTCACCAACCTCTGTTCTGCCCACAGGAAGCCTGATCTCTATGCACATCTATGCCCTCCATAGGAACAGTGCTGTATGGCCCGACCCTGAGGTACCCTCTCCATGGGCTGGGAGATCAGACAGGGTGGGGGACTGGGAGGGTCACCGTCTGCCAGAACCTGGTGAGTGTTTAAGCAAGGCCTGTCTCCTCAGGTCTTTGACCCTCTGCGCTTTTCCACTGAGAATGCGTCCAAACGCCATCCCTTTGCCTTTATGCCCTTCTCTGCTGGGCCCAGGTATGGAGAGACCCAGTATCCCAGGCCCTCAGGACTGGGGAGGAGAGGGTGGATGACATCACAGGGGAGGCACTATTAGAAGGTACGCTGAATAAGGGGGAATCATGCTGGGTTTGTGGTGATTCTAATGCAGGAGCCTTCTTCTTGCAATTATCTTATTCCTGTCCCTGGGAAGTAGGTGGGATAGGTGAGTCATTCCAAGAGAGACCCCTATTCCAGACCCCCACCATGTGAATCTACCTAGTCTGGGACCCTGACCATGCTCTCAAGGTTTGTTTCATAAGCCCAGGTCAACCAATCTATCAGCAAGTTATTCATCCAAAAACAGTAATTGACTTTTGTTGGCTGCTAAGAGCACTGAATGCCGTCACTCTGGACGCTCCATTGCACAATGACTCTTTGTGCTGCTTGCTACAGGAACTGCATCGGGCAGCAGTTTGCCATGAGTGAGATGAAGGTGGTTACAGCCATGTGCTTGCTCCACTTTGAGTTCTCTCTGGACCCCTCACGGCTGCCCATCAAGATGCTCCAGCTTGTCCTGCGCTCCAAGAATGGCATCCACCTCCACCTGAAGCCACTGGGCCCTGGGTCTGGGAAGTAGCTCTGATGAGAATGGGGCCCTGGATGGCTCAGGCTGTGACGTCTCCCTGGGCACCACCCTCCCCGGGCTGGATGTAGAGGAGTTGGGGCACCCTGCCTTCAGAAGGCTTGTAGTTTAGAAGGGGACTAGGCATTACCATAGACAACTCCTAGAGGACAGTGCTATGTACAGATGTGTGTCTATAAATGTTTATCATTCATTTAGTCAACAAACATTTGGTGAGCACCTATTTGGTTCAAGAAACTTCATTTATCTCCTGTAATTGGCAAACTTAAAAATGCAGCAGAAACTTACATTCCAACCTTAGAGAGACTCATAGTGAACACAAGGAAAGTTTTGCCCTGAGATTCGTGGTTATGACTGGATACCACTGAATAGAAGAATGGCTTAGGGGATTGCCCCTTCACTGAGATGTGTTTCTTTGTTTAACTTTGTATGTGTGTATTTCGAATATAACAGACATAAGAAAAAATTGCCTAAACGAAGACTGTATAAAATAATAAATAATTCTGAAGCAAACTCTCTTGTAACCATCACTGAAGTCAAGAAATATGGGATATGGTATCACTGGTGTGTCTTCCGCTCCTCCTGAGATGTGTCTCTGTGGCACCCCTGCCGTTGTCAGTGTCTGTGTCTCACAGTCACGTGGTGCTCCAGGCATCCAGGGTTCAGCTGGGGAAGGTGGCCAAGTGGCATTAGAGGGGGGCTTCCTGGAGGAAAGGAACCCTTCTCCCCCACTTGAATCAGCTTAAATCAGGCCTTGAGAAGGCCTGGGAGGCTGGATGGGAGGGGGCCATTTTCCCACTTCTGTATGAAGGCAAGGAACCTGTAAGACACTCATCTGGGAGGAGCTTGAGCTGAGGCCTCTGATTCTGGCCTCTTTGACCAAGCCTTCATCATGAGTACTGACACTCTCTGAGAGTGTGTGTCAGTGTGAAAAGGAGCTAAGAGCTTTGGTGTGAGAAGCGATCGACAGGCTCCCTGTGGGAGGGAGATAGGAGGCTGGGGACTGGTGGGCACCAAAGATGGATTCCATTTAATTCTTCCGGTTCTCTAAGCACACTCTGCTGCCTCCTGTGATCCTGGGCATGTGTGTGGGTTGAATGTGGAGTGTGCAGTGGGCACATACAGGTGTCGCTGTGCCTGAGTGTGTCTATATGTTGTCATGGAATGTGCACAGATGTGCACTGACCCTGAGTCTTGCCCATTGCGTGGATTGAGCAGGGTCACTTTTTGGTCACTCATTCATGCCCTGTGGGATCCTGTGGTTAGAGCACCTCTCCATGGCTGACCAACCAGAATTCTGAGCCCCCACTGTCCTTTGTTCTCTGATCATGGCCAGCACAAGCCCTCGTGTGCCACCTGATACTAGGTGAACATCCTGTGCAGGAAGTTCCCAGCCCACTCTTCTGTCCCAACCCTCTCCCTCTGACTCCAGTCAAGCACTGACTGTCCAGGCTGCTCCTTTCCTGCCTCCTCTCAGAGCAGGGCTAAAGTAGCCCAGTGATTTGGGAGGTCAGGGGACAGGGAGGGAGGCTCTGCCTACAGCCACCAATTTCGGGAGGCGTCCTGTCAGAGAAGCAGAAAAAGATGTCACATCTTAGTAAAAAGAAGGTCTGTCTATGGCATTCAGGGACCTGGGCTAAAAATGGGGGACAGCTGTGCTCAGATCCAGCAAGAGAAGTAAGGTCTAGATGGAGAGAGGCTGGCACAGCAGGGACACCAGTCCAGTGAAGCTGTGAGAAGTAGGGGACTGGGTGTTGAAACAGCCCCCAGGCAGTCACCAAGTGTGGACAGGGTTGAGGATGTCCCTGTTCACTCAGGGTGGCCAGCTAGAGGCAGGAAACCACCACCAGACTGTGGTGTGGGGGAGGAAGTGCTTGGGGTCCGACATCCTCTCCACTGGCCAGACTCATTTGTCTACCGGGGCTCCTCCCAGACCTTACAGGACAGCTGCCCACTCCGTGAGCTTCCTGAAGAGCTGGCAGACCTCATGTGTGAGTGAGACTGACAGGTGCCTGGTGATGTGGCCAGGCTGGGTTCCCTTTTCATGTCTCATTGCGGGTATGAGAGGCTGGGTCCTTGAGGTGCTCATGCCAGACCAGGCCTATGAGGCTTTCCTGCTCAGCTCACAACAGCCCTGCTGGTTGGGATGTGGTGTGTCGCTGCTCAGACTCTAGTTGCTAACTTGATTCTCAATGTGGCAGTGTTGGGAGTCTGGGCCTCGTGGGCAGTGTTTGGGTCATGGGGGTGGATCTCTCATGAATAGATTAATGTTCCCCTGCAGAGGCATATGAGTTTTTGCTCTAACTGGAAGGGATTAGTTCCTGAGAATGTGGGTTTTGAAAGGAGCCTGGCTTCCTCAGTCTTTCGTGCTTCCTCTCTCACTCTGTGAGAGTCCTGGGTTGCAGTTTTGCTTATTGTGCTTGTTTTGTGTTGGTTGGCCTTCAGCCAGGAGGTGGCACTTTAAAGAGAGCATCGTCTGTGGCAGTATAGGGAGGATCAGGTGGTGGGAGGGGCCATAGAGCTCCCAAGAGATTATGTCTTTTGTCTTCGGCTACAAAGGTGAGTAGATAAAAACTTACCAGGTGGGTGCAAGGTTAGGCATGTCTGAACTCAGACTCTCCTTGGGTGAAGCTTGCTGCAACAGCTGTGGGGGATGGGAGTGTGGTTCTCAGGCCAATAGAATTATGTTTCCAGGGGGATTATGGCTGCCTCTGCTGTGTCATGTAGGTTACCAGGGAAGGAGGGAAAGCCATAATTACAGGCCTCACTTAGCTCCCATGCAGCCCAAAAAGCTTGTCTCATTCCCATTATGCTTCACCAACAGCACTGAGTTTATTTCCAGGCAGTGGGTGAGCAGGGCTGAGAAGTTGCCCCAGGTTACCAGCCTCCTGGCTGAGAAAGCAAGCAGGGCTTTCAGGTTTCAAGCTTCCTCATCTGCTGTGGCTTCTGTGCTGTGTCTGTACTCCCGATTTACCCCCTCCCCCAGTTCTGTCCAGGAAACTTCATGTTCAGTCAAATTTATTACGAAGTTCAGCTGGAAATTTCCTTCTTTGTGTGGTCTTTTCCCAGTTCCTCTGGCTGCTCTCCCTAGGGACCCCTATGAGACAAAGTCAGAAATGGCTTCCTTGGGGACAGAGAGTGCCCGCTGCTTCTTCTACCGCTGTATTTCACTTGGCTCTCTAAATTCATCCCAGCTCCAGGTAAGATCAAATCCTACTCCCTCGATCTGGACTTTCAGTTTTCCCAGTGAGGGTATGTGTTCAGGGGCAGAGGAGTCCCCTTTCACACTTTAGACACTCACAGGTTTTTGACTGTTTCCTAGGGTCTTGCAACAGCAGTCTGCTTCCTTTGAAGGGTCTGGGGATTCTGTCGGCTTTCCAGGTGTATCCTGCACTAGTTATTGGAGCGAAAATTCATGATGTGAGTCTCCATAGGCTACTCTGTCTGTCTGAGTGGGAGCTGCAAGTTAGTCCTGCCTCCTGTTTGCCATTTTTTCCCCCAATCGGTGTATATTAACTTTTAAAAATTAGTGAAACATACAGAACATAAAATAGGACACTTTAACAAATTTTAATTGTACAGTTCCATGGCATTAATTACATTCACAATGTTTTACAACCATCATCACTACCTATGTTCAAAACCTTTTCATCATGCTAAGAGGAACTCTGTAACCTTTAAGGAATTACTCTGCCTGCCCTCAGTACCTAGTAATCTCTAATCTACTTTCTGTCTTTATGTTTGCATATTCTACTACCTGTAAGTGGAATAATACAATATATTTCCTTTTATGTCTGGCTAATTTCACGCAGCACACTGTTATAATGATCATTCCTGCTGTAGCATGTATCAGAAATTCATTCCTTTTTATGATTGAATAATATTCCATTGTATGTATGTACCACATTTTGTGTACCCATTCATCTGTTGAGGGACACTTGGTATCTTTCTGCCTAATAACTATTGCTAATAATGCTGCCATGAACACTGGCTTAGAAGTATCTATTCAAGTCATTTCTTCCAAGTCCTTTGTTTATAGACACAGGAGTGGAATTGCTGGATCCTATGGTAATTGTGTTTTTATCTTTTAGAGGAACCACAAATCTTCTGTGTCCCCCTCACCCCTCTATCCACTGGAACCTGTAGTCTTCTAATTGTATTCCAGAAATGTCGTTCCTTGCCATCCCTCAGTCTTCTCACTTGGCCTTTCTGGGTCTCTGTTTGCCCTCCCTCCACACTGAAGCCACAGCCCAGCTTAGACCTTCCCACACTCTTCATCAGGGAAGACAGCATCTCAGTGTTCCAGCAGGCAGCCAAGCCCTCCGTGGGCTGATGCCTCACCCACATTTCACTTGTCCAGCCCACGTCCTAGCTCTGTTCATGTGGAGACGGCTGAGAACATCCTCCCCTCACCTCTGCCTGCCACATCCTCAAGGCTAAGGCCAGAGCCCAGGTGCCTCTCACGCCCTGCTGGCTGTCTCCCTCCCTTCCACGGCCCCCAGGCAGCATTTGTGATTTATCCACAGAGAGTTACAGACCAGTGCCTAGGATAGTGCCAGAAACAGAGCTGCTCAGTGAGTGAATAAGTGAGTGAAAGGATGAATGAGGAGCGAAATATCTGGAGCATAGAATGTGTTTCTGTGCAACACATTTTCATCCTTGACTGTGAAGTCTTCAAGGCAGGGACAGTATCGTTTACCTCTGTTTTCTCATCACCGTGCACAGGACTTGACCCACAGAGGTAGACTTAATAAATACTTTTATATTTGCATGAAGTTAATTAAGTTTTTAAAATGAACAAAACAGAATGGAATTCACTGAGAGTAAATATTCGTTCTGAGCTAGAAATGGAGCTTAGGGATGCTCTCCTATCCTCTAGTGGCAGCGACATGACTGGCAGCCAGTGTTTAGGAAGAAGTTCTCATTCTGGGATGAAGCAGTGCTGGAGAAGGTGTATCTGGAAGAAACATTTGCTTAAAGCCTGTTGCATGAAAGTTTATTCACTATTTGAAGAATTCACAGAACTATTCCTTCAGAAAAAGCTTGTTTCTACTACTATTTACACCATTTTCGGCATTTGTATTTCACAGGACGTTTCCTGCAGCTTTTCAGATTTCCACAGCAGCCATTTTGGAGTGTACCTGTCCAGCTCAACAGCTATTTCAGGTGTGTTTCATATTTTACAGACTGGGAACCTTCAAATGCTGTGTCACACAATAAATATTGAGCTTTTCTTTCCAAGGCAGTCTATCGTCCACATTTGTATGTTTTTTGCCAATATTGTGCTATGTGGAGTGTGGGACCATGGTATCGAGATCCCATTGCACGTAAAGAATTTTGGCAACTTGGAAAGTAGATGTTAATACGTGAACATTATACTGCAGCAAAAATTTAATTGGGCAAGACAAGAAAATGTGGGAGATGACACACATTGATGTAAAACTTTCTCTAAAGGCTTACTACTACCTTTCACTTCTATGGCTTGAAAGGTAGGACCAGTAAGCTGAGTGA